CTGAAGGTGAGTGCAGAGAATACAGATGAGCAGTCACGATTCTCCCCTGGGGTTTCACAGCTGTAGATCCAGGAGAAGCTCTGTTAAGCTGGGCAGGGTACTACCCATGTAATCAAGAGCTGAACTGAATCAGACAGGTGACATCGAGAGGGGAGGATATGTGGGTTTAGGAGAGCAAAAACATCCCGCGGCCCAAAGGATCCGGGCAGCTCTTGGGAGTCTTCACTGGCATAATACTGAGAGATGCAACAATCCTTTTGGATTTCAGCCCGCTCTCCAAACGAGACTGAAATTTGGAGCTGGGGGAATGCCTGTGTTTGCATTTGTGTCTGTGTGCACTAAGGATTTTCTGCATCAGAGATGAGTGGTTGAGGAAGTAAAGGACTTGGCTTGTATCTGGCTCCCTGGAGAGCTGCAGATGCGATTAAGACCATTTAAAAATTAAAAAAAAAACATGAAAAAGACACGCAATCATGTCGTTTTACATCAGTCAGAGGTGTGGCCCACAGGTCACATCTGGCACACCTGGTTTGTTGATAGCCATTCTGCATCTCCCCTGTTATTAGAAAAGGAAATTTAGTGTTGGAGGGAGGAATCAGTGGAGCACTGCTGGCCTGAACCAGTGATTTTCCACATCCCTCAGCAATTTAACTGCGTATCAGCCCTTAGAGACTTCCAGCACCCATGCTACAGGTAGGAGCCACCCTAGCTAGCTTTGGACACCTGTGCCCCGGATTTCTACCTCCAAATTGTCCTCCGCACACACCCCTTTAGGTCAGTATCATCTGACTTGTTTAATTACCTGCTTTATGCAGAAGTGACTGGAGGAGTGCCTCTTTCTTGCCCTAGAATGTAGAACAGAGCAAAATGGAAGAGGATAGAATGGAGTAGAATGGAATGGAGTGGAATGGAGTAGAGTAGAGCAGAGCAGAGTGGAATGGAATGAATAGAATAGAATAGAATAGAATAGAATAGAATAATTTCTGCTGGAAGTGGCCCACAATGGTCATCTAGCAAAGAGCTGCATGTCTTGCTCAGAGATGGATTCTTCTATGATTCTGTGATTCTGCGATTCATCCACTGGGTTAGCTGAGTCCCACCTGATGCGTTTCCCTGAGTAACTCATCTTTTCAGTGATAGTTGCAAAATAACAGGTTCAAGAACACTTCCTCAGCCCTGGCATTTCCTAATGCATTTTTTGAGAGTCTGAAAAACAGGCTGGGGAAAAGAAACCCAAGCTTTCATTAAATTAGGCAGTTCACCTTCTGCCAGGGCCCTTCCTGCAGGTGGGATTTCCCTTTTTTTTTACCTCCAACAGCGGGGACCACACCACCACGGCAGCACTTAATGGGAGCTCAAGTCTCAGCAGCAGCATAAACCTATTGCCTGGGTCACATCAGTTCCCGAGGATAAGCATTTGCCCCTCGCTCTGCCTTGTGCACAAAGTGTGTCACAGCAGGACCTTGCTCTCAGCTGCGCCTGCTGCTGCAGAGGTGTAGTAAATCATCAGATCAGGGGCCGGCATGGCTCGTCAGGCTCATACTTCTCTCTCTGCAGTGAAGAGGTTAATGTTACCCCTGGGAGCTGTAATCTAAACCGGATGGCATTGCTGACTGCTGCCAGCCAGCTCAAGGTTTGTTTTCCTCTATCGTGTCCCTCCCCTTATTGTCCTAAGCGTGTTTATTTGTTTCCCACGTAAGGAATGGCACGTTCCCTTAGAAAAAAAGCATGCTGATAGGAGCCTTAGTTCTTGCTGCTCTGGCCCTTGTTGCACACGGAAGGGGGCCAGTTTCCAAGCCGGGTCATCCCTTCGGAGGAATGGCATTTCCAGGAGCTGGGCACGCTTGAGCCCTTCTGACAGGCAGCACTGCTGGCTGACACAGGTGACTGTCTAACAAGTCTCTGATCAAACCTCCTGCTAGCAGAAGAGCAAGGCAAAAAAATATGCAATGGACATGTGCAGAATTACGGAGTTTCAGCAGCCTCGGTGTCCAGGAAAAAATAAACACATTCATGTAATAGGACTGGATTCAGCCCTCTTGTCTTCCCTCTATTCCCTGCTCCAAGGATAACCCTAGGGCAAATCATTCCACTCCTCCTTAGTTTACTCTTTGGCAGCATGCGGAGAAGCGCAGCCTCAGAAATACAGGACAGAGCGTAGCCGGGTGATGACAGTGGTGCCAGCTGCAGTGCAAAGTGAGATAAATGCGTTGGCTGCTCTTTCTCAGACCTGCTGCTCCCACCCTGCTCCCGTTACCGTGGCGTGGCGGTGAGGAGAGGTGTGCTGATGAGCCAAAAGCATCTGTGGGACCCAGCTCAAATCCAAAGAGCCTGTCCTATGAGTCTCTTCAAATATATTTCTTCAGTCCTTCCTCCCACATACACCCTCTCATTGATCATTAGCTTTGATTGGACGTCACTGGGCAAAACGACCCTGCTCGCTGCAGGAGATTTGGACTAGATGACCTTTAAAGGTCCCTTCCTACTCAAACCATTATATGATTCTATGATCTATCTTGTTCTTTCTAGGGGAGCAAATCTACGGTCATTCACAGCACTGTGTGTTCAGGTCCTGCTGGAAGTAAACATCTCCCACAGGATTGCTATGTTCAACCTGTGTCTCCTTCTCTCCCCTCCACATACATTTTTGTTTGCTCCTTTGGTAGACAACCATCTCATTAATCTCTCACCTGGCTTCTTACCCATGAGATTTGACCTCTTTCTTACTCACCTGCACAGCTACAGAAATTAGCATATCACAGAATCACAGAATCCTTCAGGTTGGAAAAGCCCCCTGGGATCATCGAGTCCAACCACTGACCCTACTCTACAGAGCTCACCCCTAAACCATCTCCCCCAACCCCACATCTCGACGACCTTGAAACCCCTCCAGGGGTGGGGACTCAACCCCCTCCCTGGGCAGCCTGTGCCAAGCTCTGACGGCTCTTGCTGGGAAAACATTTTCCTGCTGCCCAGTGTGACCCTGCCCTGGTGCAGTTTGCAGCCTTTCTCTCGCCCTTCCCCCGGGAAAAGACCCCAGCCCCAACCTCTCCACAACGTCCTGTCAGGCAGTTGCAGAGAGGGATGAGGGCTCCCCTCATCCTCCTCTGCTTCAAACTCCACAGCCCCAGCTCCTTCAATTGCTCTTCCTAAGTTTTATTCTCCAGGCCCGTCTCCAGCTCCATCGCCTTCCTCTGCACTCATTCCAGCCCCTCGAGATCTCTCTTGGTTGAGGTGCCCAAAACTGGACACAACACTCAAGGGGTGGCATCCCCAGGGCCCAGTACAGGACTTTGTAATGTAGCTTAAGCCTACAAATTGGGCAAGGATTGCCTCGCTGTGTCTCAGCTGCAGAAGTAGGTTGGTATGGGTTTGAGGTACTTATCATCATCTATGTTTGTCTTGGTGATTGTGTCCCAGCAAAAAGACCTACAAAGCCTTTTTTCATCCAGAAAGCTGTCCAGTAAGAATACATCATCTTCATCCAGGACAGCTGCCTTCCAATACCTAAAGGGAACCTACAGGAAGGCTGGGGAAGGACTTTTTACAAGACTGTCCACTGATAGGACAAGGGGAAATGGGTTTAAGTTGAAGGAGAATAGATTTAGATTAGATCTTGGGAAGAAATTCTTCAGTATGAGGGCAGCAAGACTTTGGAATAAATTGCCCAGAGAGGTTG